ATAGCGATGACACTATGGTGCGATGACGATGGCGCGATGGTACGATGACGATGAAGCGATATTTACTTTCGCTCCATCGTGCTATCGCACCATCGTCATCGCATTATCGCTCCATTGTATCATCGTCATCGTGCTATCGCACCACAGCTCCATCGTCATCGCATCATCGCTTCATCGTTATCGCACCATCGCATTATCGCGCCATCAACCTATTAGTCGATACTCGACCGATCACATCTTCCATGGAGTTTTAAGAGATTTCAACCTTGTCATCCATGTCTATAGGTAATCATGAGCTTATTTTTTTTCACTTTAGATATAAACAGCAACGGTGTCTTGTGGACTGTAAATGGAATAAGGTGACCAAAGAGTGTGAAAGTCAGTATCAGAATACCTCAGTATAACACTTGTAGTATTTTTTAGATATTAAGAATAAACTCATAATTTTCTCTCATCTTTGAGCATCTTTAAATTAATCCAGTCCTTCAGCTTGTATATCTTTTTTAAACAAAATATCTAGTTTATTATCTTTTTCTGGGAAGTTTATTTTTTGCAATTTTTGCATTGTTCATGTTATATCTGTTATAAGACATTTTAAAATGATGTGATAATGCAGATCAAATAATCAACTCAACATATTGGGGAAAAAAACTGACTAACAAGTAAGAATTCATCTAATTCTTGATTCTAAAATTAGACTGTCAGGTTGGCTATTTTGGGCAGAATTGTTCTATGCCATGTAGATATCCAAACTTTGGGAGGGATTGTCAAAAGGTCTGTTCACAGTGCGATGAGAAAGAATGTAATCATATGTATGGTTGTCCAACAAATGTGCCAAGTGAAATAATAAAAGTAACATGTAAGGATTTTTGTACAGTATTTAAATAAATGTATTGTTCTTCACCAATCTTGATTTAAACATATGCATCCTCATAGAAAGTAAAGTCTACATTTTTTTATTTTTAGCTTCCTCATCGGTCATATATAGAAGTGGAGTCGAACGTTCGGATTCCTTCGGTCTTGACCCTGTCATTATAGGAACATTGACGTCTTCAGGGTTCCTTCTGGTTTTCATTTCTTTCGCCGTTGTTACGGTATTCAATAGAAGGCGATTTATTAGAAATATCAGCAGAAGAGCCCATTTCATCGATTCTATCATAACGGATTTTCCTGCCGATTTCACGCAAAGAAGTCTTACCAATGATTCATTGTTGCATTATTCTAGGAACTAATTGATATATAAGATTTCCTCAATATAAGTCGAGCTTAATTGTTTAACATTACAAATTAAGTATCACTTTTGGAATTTACCTATTAGAAAGTAATAGGTAATTTTTTCAGTTGTTTAAATTTGATTCATCCAATATGTATATTCTGAATTCAAACATGTGACTGACATGTGACTTATGCATATGCATGAGGTTTATCAACATATTTTATTTAGTAGTTATTAATATTTTTGATTAATAAAGTAAATAAATAAACTAAATGGAAAATGTTCATATTTTAAGAGCCATTCTCTGTAATGATTTGAAATTTTATATAGGAGCTGTGGCACGCATTGTCTCAGAATTTCTCCAAACTCTCTATGATAAAAGTCATTGATGCCTTAAACTGAAATGAGGCAAAAATTGGTTGCTATGTTTCATAGTTACCATGGCAACATGTCTTAAAGTTCGAAAAATGGCATTTTTTAACATGTTTAGAGCCCCATAGTTAACATTTGCGGCAAAACAAACAATTGGCAATGACTGTTTCCGAAAGTTGAAAGTCAGATGTCTCAAATGCATGATAAAGATGTTTGGTAAATCAACTATTACATACGTTACTATGGTAACAAAGTATTCAAAAGTAAAAAACAAATTTCATTGAATTTTATAAAGTCATACACGTAAAAATTAAAAGCAATTATAGGATGAAATGTGACCAAATAATAGAAAAAAGGGCCTTGAAACATATACCAAGAACAAAATATGATATTTTATTTTGGTTGGCAATGGTTGCCAAGGTTTTTATACCACAGAGAGCCTTCAAAGTAACACTCTGTATGTTTAAATCTGATCCTATCTTTTATAAAAAGCACATTTCCTCGTAACTAATGATCAATTTTATAAGATGTTGGTGTGCTCCAAGTTTCCCCATTTGAAAAAATTCAGATAAGATTCTTTAAATAGAGCGTTGCTATGGAAATAAACAAAAAATATATGCTTAAAAACCTGAAAAATATTTCCCTTCCTTGGATACGTACCCTTAAATCTAGATTCCCAAAACTTTTATGATTGAAATTTATTAACAGCTAACTTGACTTTTAATTTTGACTATCATCCAATCTCTAAGTGGATGCAAGAAGTTGGCACACAGGGTTTAATATTAATATAAAGTTCACAAAATCGAACATTTTCCCTTCTTGGTAACCATAGCAACAGTGTTGTTTTATCATCAAATTTTATCAATATATGTTATTCAACATCAGTTTTAACAGATAAGTATTATTCAAGCTGAGTCCTTTAATTTGTTTCTTGATTAAATGGCAATTCAATTCTTAATGCAGCAAAAAATAATTCACTTTTAGGCACTGGTACTTTGTTTCCATGGTAACACTGCAAAATAGCAATTATACCCAATTTTTCTCATGGTTTTGGTGTTGCAAGGTCGTAAGGATGCATATTTGCCAGTCTTGAATTTTCATGTTTTTCCTCAAGACAGTAGCATTAACCCAATCTTAGTTACTGGTTTTGCATGGTTACACTGTGTTACCATGGCAACCATAAAAGTTATTTATAGAATAATATTGCTTATACTTATATACTTAAGGTCAAACATTTTCATTGTTTTTCTTAAGTCGGTGATTGAGTTTGAGCATGTAACACCTACCATTAGTGAATACGGAGTGTTTTTCAGCATATTTCAGCATTTCAAATGTATTCCAAAAGTACCCTTGGTTACCACTTACTTAGAGATATATTCTAAACAGTTTCTTTACAGTATAAGTGACATCAAGGTTTAATGTTTTTGTGAGAATGGTTTGTTTGCTTTTTCCAGTTTTTATTAAGCCGCAGTCAAGATTTAAAGTGGCTGAAAATCTCAATTTTTCAAACTTTTCCGGCTGTTGCCATAGCAACCGAGACACATAGCAACAAAATTTTGATTGATATTTGTTTCTGGTGTCAAGTACTAAGCATGTGTGAAGTTTCATCAAAATCGGTGACCATGCGTGGCAACGAAGTTTAAGTGGTTACAGAGAATGGCTATTAATTATAACATAGATACATAGCGGGTTCAATTAAAAAGTTCCTACAAAGCCTTTTTCTTTACTTTTCATTTAACATGTACATCTTCGACAGAAACAGCAGTGAAAGAAAAACTTTAGGAGTATTGAACAACATTATATTTGTTAAGTGGATCGAACCAGTAGTGGATACTTAAATATTTATTTGAGCTTTTTAACACTACGACTTCTTAAAACTTTATATAATCATTCCACAACATAAATCCTAATTCGAGGCTCCTGGACAGCAGTTAAAAATACAGCTGCTTTTTCTTGGTTGTGACCTACAACCACATGGTGGTTGTGATCCGTCGGCGTAGGATGTTTAATCCTCCATGACACCTTATTCTACTTCTGATAATCGAGAAGTCCATGTTTACTCTGTACTCTGAGGTTGACATCAAAAATATGCTTGAGTTTCTGATTGACAATATATATGTGTTCTTTTTTTTCCTTTCGAGACCAGGTCTTCCATCAATATATTTTGAATTCCCATGGGTACCATTTGCGCTCTGTTATTAGCAGACCTATTTTTGTTTTCATATGAAGAAGAATTTGTCCAAAATCATATAAGTGAAAAGAGAACACTTGTTGTGGCCATCAACTCGACATTTAGATATATCGTAACGTATTGTCAATGAATGGTAACTTCCATTCTTATGTCGAAACGATTTATCCCGGTGAGCTTGAGATAAAAGATATCACAGAGTCTGACACATCTGTTTCATATTTGGATATTTTACTGGAAAAAGACATTAATGGTAATCTAACAACCAAGCTCTATGATAAACGTGACGACTTTAACTTTACAATCGTCAACTTCCCTTACTTATGCAGTAATATACCTTTATCACCTGCATACGGAGTTTAAATATCTCAGTTGATTTGATATGCAAGAGCATGCTCTATGTATGAAAAATTTCTAAAACGAGGCAAATTATTGACAAACAAGTTGATGAAACAAAAATATCAGCAGTTTCGTTTAAAGTCAACATTTCGTAGGTTCTATCGTCGAAACAAGGAATTTGTCAGCAAATACAATTTATTGATTGTTTGTCCATTATTTATACACTGACTTGAAGACGGATTTTTCCGTTATTCCCCGATCAGAACAAGGAACACACAGTGGGTGAGACCGGTCAGCAGCTAGGGGATGTTCACTCACCCATGGCAAGATCCCACCTCTTCTGTTTTTGAGGTCCGTGTTTGCTCTTCTCCTATTTTGTATTGTTTTATGGACTTTTGATCTTGAATAATGTTCTTTATCTCCATATGTTTCATGTAAAGAAAATGCAAATATATAATTAATGAGAGATGTATTTGATAATTTTTTAGAATCTGTACGTAATGGGTGTTTGATGCTTTTTGCTCTTTAAACTTTCTATTTCTGCACAGTATTTGTAAATTGGCAGTTCTCGGAATGCGGAAGGAACATAATGTTGATTTTACTTTTATAAATGTTAATCGTAACATATTATTGTTCAATTGATGTAATGAAGACAATCTGAAGAGCCATGGAAGTTGCATATGCACCAATCATGTTTCTGTTCATGATTTTTAGCGCGGACACATCTATAAATCAATGTTCTAAGTATGAACGCAAAACCAGTTGTTGGAACTAATTTTTATTTTCTAAATTAAATTTGAAATGGAACAATTTCTTTGAGAGGGGGAGTATTGCTAGATTTTTGACAAGTTTTTTATATTATTTGTTTTTGTTGTTTTTTTTTAGCACTTCAGTCAAATCATGTTGTTCAGATTTTATGTGGAACGAACGCTTAAAATCCTGTACAAGTAAGTTTTGTGTTTTATTTTTTTTTTTATTTTTTTTTTGTTTTTAATTTCTTTAATTTTCTAAATCCCTTTTCTCCATTTTTATAACAATGACGATGTGTTATTTGTAATGTGTATATTTCTTTTTATATCATTTTATTCCAAGTTTTTTTTTTTTTTTTTTTTGAATCCCCCTTATAACCTCCACTTTTCATTTGTAGAATGTTCCGTTGGTTATTTCGGAGTGAATTGTACAGGCACCTGTCGCTATCCTAACTATGGCAAGGACTGTCAACTGAGATGTTACTGCGATAAAATGTATTGCAATGCCTCGCTCGGATGTATTTTTTCCGCAGGTATGCACATTATATGATAATTAAAAGCTGAAGCCACATTTATGTATCTTAATACAAAAGACATGAGGTATCAAGGCATTTTGGGGGGAAATAGGGAAAAATGCATTTTTTCATACTTAGTTTTAATTGCTGTAAAATGCATGTGGTATCATTTTAAGATATCACATATGACTTCCAATTTATTCCTATGCTAAAAAGCATCGGTATCATAGGTATGTTTAAAGAAAATTCGATTCCTCTGAAAAAAGTACTCCTTTTTAAAACTGCTTTGAGATACATTGGGGCTTCAGCCTTTCAAGGAGATTCCATGTTTCCCAATACTAGATTAGTATAAACTTGACTTTATAAATTATCAATGTGATACAAAAATTTGAAATAAAATTAAAAAAAGGTTACTAGTAATATAGCAAACGGCTAAAGTGATTTATCTCAACAAGTCTACAAACAATATATGCCTATGAACAGGGCATAAAACCGCAGAACCCCGAAAAATCTAGGTGTGAGATCAGGTGTATCGGAAAAGCAAGCATTTTCAGCCGACCAATCACACCCATCGTAAAACTAATGTCACGCATGATCAAGTAAACAAAAAACTCTGTAGTCTGGGCTTTATTGTACGCTTAAAATTTCATGTTTCCGAAAAGAAATTAATTGCCTTAATCAAGAATTGAATATATGAATGTGATAAACCATGCATGAAACAACGGAAGGAGGACCATTCTGGAAATAGGACATCATGAACAAAAAAAGCCTCAAAATGTCTCATTTCAGGGGTTAAGTGTGTCCGCAAACGTCGCCCACTTTAATTTTATCCTTAAAAAAATTATATTTTTCAAAATGCATGCATGCGCTCTATATTACCTTTTTTTTTTTAGAGAAATAAGCAAGTTAATGACGTCACAATTAGCATTTAGGAGGACAGACGAGAAAAACAATTTGTGGATATTTTCTGCGTTGAATTCCTATGATTCAGAAATTTTTTTTTATTTCTTACATAACTTCCATATTTTAGAAAAATACAAAAAAATTGATTTGAGTATTGAAACTCTAACTCGTTCTTCCCAATAAAAATGTATATTTTTTGTAATTCATATACTATAATGACAGATGCATGTGCATTGTGGTATGCATGTGTTATAAGGATAAATTGAATCCTTAAAAATGTAACTTTTTTATTTATAAAATTATTAATATTTTCATTTTTTATTTATTACATGTACTCGTACATTATTTAATTACGAAAGTCAAAATTAAGTAAGGATTCCAGATAGGACCATGTAGTTCACTTTGGCATCATCGAATGAAGAAGATGAAGCGATGGTGCGATGACAATGATGAGACGGCACAATAAAGCGATGCGGCGATGGTGTGATAGCAATGGCACGATGACGATGGTGTGATATGATGACGAAGAAGCGATGTTAACTATCGCTCTATTGTGATATTACACAATCGTATTTGCATTATCTCATCATCGATATTACATCATCTCTTTATCGTCGTCTCACCATTGACGCTTAAGTCTATACTTGATCGTGCGCTAGTGCACTACTTGGAATCCGGATTAATCCGTAGTGGTAATTGTTTTCCAAATATTGGTAAAGTATTGTACGTCATGTATTTTAGTGCAAAAATGTTCTGCCATAAACTAAACGGCATAGAAAGATGGGGATAAGCTTGAAATCCCTTATGGCTACTATTATACACCAATTTTGTTGTAGTAGGCCCAACTCCCCGAAAACTGTTATGATTTAGACGAACTTATTTTTTTAGGAAAACTACATGTATATGGGGAAGGAGTCTGCTACAAAACAGTTGTCAATATTTTTCTGATTCTTTGCAGATGAAAGAGACAAGGAACTCTTCTATTACATTTCCGCCTCCAATCCTGTTTTGATCACCATTTTTGTAATGCTGGTATTAGTTCACATTTTCTTCTTGGTCAACCTTGGAAGGAAAATCGTTTTGGGACGATATAGAAAAAGTTCTGGCACCAATGTAACAGATTCAAGATATGAACCATTACGTCCAGTCAAAACTAAACCAGCAACTCAGTCAGGAACAACCTGGTATGTTCCGGACAACAGCAACGAATCTGAGAAATCCCTCCCGAAAAATGAAGAGCCCAACTACGAAGAAGTCCGGCAAGCCAGTCTCTCAGCATTAGTACCTATGCCTAAGCTGAATGCATTTAATGGAAATGACAACAGGAAGAAGAAAACTGTATTTGTCAAAAAAATGCTGGAGGATGGAAATACTAACTAAAGTAAAATAATGAAATGATGGCTTTGATCAAAATGCTCTGTAAAAATTTTACAATCTGAATGTTTCAGAACAATTTAAACCATAACTAAATTTAAAAAGTTACACTGTTTCTACACAGAAAACCATAGCTATGCCCATAAAATATTAACGAAGCATTATATCCATACTTCTAAATATTAATTCATCAATGCTTCTAAAAACACTGAGAGAACTCATCAGTTATTTGATGAAGATTTTAATACTTATGGTTACAAGTCCTTTCAATCTTAAATGTTTAAATGTTGAACAGAATGGCCGTAGAATTTCTGTTCTTGTGTCATTTCTCTTTCACTGTAGAACAAATACATCTCACTCTGACAGTTGCTCAAAATATGATACACAAAAGGTGTATCACAGAGTCAAGTATAGGCACATGTTAACACATACAAGACTGGAACATACCAATCACATCTCAGCACATTCACAAAGAATCACAAAAAAGTCCATGCTTTACTGCTATAAATAAAGAGTGCTGTGTTTTGTGTGTAAGTCCACAATTTTCTTCAGGGTTTCACTAGCCTTGGTATTTTTCTACAACAGACAACATAAAATTATTATTTTCTATTTGCAAATTCTATCATCATCTTTATAATATATTTGCAATATTTTTTTCTGGTTCCTTTATTTGAAAACAAAATGTCTTTTCTTGTTTTTAAAACACAAGACTACTTTAAATCTCCTACCTCTCTTATCAAATGTATAGGAGTAGTTTCAACAAGAGGTTGAAATGTTTTCATGGTAGCGAAGTCTAAATGTATTGTGTCTGTGTAACACACGTATAACACAGCCTTCACTTTGTGGATGTGACAATAGGTCATTACTGTAACATAAAATTTTCAAGTAATTAAATTATTAATACATGATAAAATTTATTTTTATGCTTTTATTAGTGATCTGACATCATCAGTATTTGTAAACTTTGTAAATTAAATCTTTACCATTTAATATTAATTTTTCTTCTTGAATTTAATGGAGTGAAAATTTTATTCTTCTTAATGAACTGAAATGAATGGAACTATAAAGTTCAAAAATTATAAATTTACAAAACTTTATGCTAAGTGCAACTGTTGGCATATAAATGAATCTATATTGTTACATGTATGTAACTTGAAATTACTTTTCCCCCTCCTCCTCGTATTACGTTATACCTTGAGCGGGAAGTCCAGTCACCACATTAGGTTGCTCTAAATATGGACAGAGAGGAGTTCCCATGAATGGGGCCGTTTTCAGGGCTCTCAGGAAAGGAGGGTTCATGTCTGATGTGGGGATTTCTGACTTGTACTCACTGGTGAAGGCTGAACTCAGTATCACAACATGACCTTCACTTAGGTTGAGACAGGACATTAACTAAAAAAAAACAATAAAAACATTAATGAAAGGTATAGCTTTTAAACTTCTTTTAAAAGATTTTATAGTATTTATTAAGAAGAAAATTGATCTGACAGTTACAGGTTTGATGATAATAAAGATGATAATATATGGAGAAAATTACTATAGATTCTGAAATCTACTCTGGTGTTTCACATGTGCATGAGTATTTGTTAATACAAATAAACTTATAAGAACTACAGTGAATACATTACCTGATTAACAAAGGAGTGGGCATACTCTGGCCTTACATCATAGTTGCATTCACAGACGAGGGCACTAGGGTAATCACATTTCCTGTAGATGTAACAAGTTTTATCTGTGGGGGATGTCTGTCCAAATGTGTTTACATCGTCCTCCTTCATCCCGCAAAACAGGGCACCTATAATCTCATAATTTTGGTGTGTGACGTATGTCTGTGTGAAACCTAGTAAAAATAGAAAACAAAATAAAGTAATAAAATGAATTATTTTCCCTCTGTCTTAATATAAAAAGAAACAGATAACTAGGCATATCTATTTATTTAATTTGCCTAAATACTCTTGAAAGTCAATGGTTTTATCCATGAACCCATTCAATGGCATAATGCCGACAGGTTGTCTTATTTATGAAAAGTTTGATGAGTGGTATATTTTGGTGTGCTGCCATTGTGGAAGATTACTTCAACTTTAATTAAAACCAGAATTGTTTTCTAGAAATAAGAGGGTCATTCAAATGTTGAGTGATATGGACTGAACCAGGGCTGGATAGAACTTTTACATCAGTCACTTTGCACCCAAAAGGCAGTACCTGTTGCAGCAGGGCCAATAGCTAAAACGAAGGCATCCACTTGAAGCTTCTCATCTTTTGTTACTTCTAATTCTTCTTTGACTTCCTTTTTCCATTTCAGTTTTACAGAGCTAAGAATAGTAAGTTTTTTTTGCTGTTATCATATGGTTTGCACATATGTGTTTCTAATTTTTAATGACATTATTTGTTTTCCTTTCATCTATAAATTAAGTCAACAAATCTTTGAACATGCTGAATTCTAAATGGGCAATATGCATATAAATATTAGAGCATCAAAATACTTTGATAAAATGAATAATACTTGAAAATTTAAGTGCTATACTTTTCAACCATGTCTATACAGTCATTTCTTAGCAGAATTACTAAGTAATTTGTCTTTTTTTCTTGCAGGTGGACTAACATTGATATTTTAAAGCTTTTTATTACTAATGTGCACTTTGACTTTAAAACACATATTCTATATTCACTGTAATTTTAAATAAATCATGTTGAGTCAACTAATTATTATACATGTACATGTATTGGCAAAATATATTTTTTTCATATTTAATATCTGAATCCTTCAATTTGGTCTTTGAAAATTGTAATGAAAAGCCCATGTGCCACATTGCTCACTTGGAGATTTTGGCTGGTAAAAAAAACCCAGAAATCTCCTACCCCGCCTCACCCTCTAATTGGAATGGGAGTGTAAAGACCGGATTTGAGTGAACAAAGTTTAATCTCCCGGAACTGAAGATGCTTCCATATTACTAGCTTTGAAAGAATTTTACAGATACTCAGTACTTCCCTATGTATTCCTATGTAAAACTTTGATCTTCTATTGTGGCCCCACCCTCCACCCCCAGGTAATAAAATTAACAAGCTTGAACTGACACTAACATGTCAAGATGTCATATCATGGCTGCTCTTTCAAAGATTTTAAAGTTTTTTTTTCCACTTCCTGAAGATGCTTCCATATAACTGCAAGTGCATGTATGACTGATCATGGCTTTGCCATCTTGAAAAGAAGATTTTTCCTAAATTTTTCTTTTATGTATAATTTTGGTTACCTGTCATGGTCCCTCCTTGAGGGGCTTGTGAGTCCCCTACCAGTGAAACCGGATGGGGACTGTAGGTTTCCTCTGCGTCTGTCTGTCCATCCGTCTGTCAGTCTGTCAGTCTGTCCTTCTTGGTTTTCCACACTTTTTTTCCAAACGCTTGCAGATATTGAGCTGAATTTTGGTATGTCAGGGTTCGAAATTAACGTTAGTCCATTAGTCTCAGACTAATACATTTTCATTCGGACTAATGAAAATTTTAGCTAATTAGTCCGAATGGACTGACAAAATTTTCTTGGGAGAAAACAGAATTTACCGATGTTCAAATTTCTGACAACTTTCACTGGAAAATCCCATATTTATTTTTTGCTTTCTATAGCTTCTTGCGGGAAGTTTGGTAATTCTGAGTCAATTTGGCGCATAATTTTAGGACTCATCGGTATGAAATTATACATTTAAGTGATCATGATTTAGTATGACACATAAATAAAGATGTCGGATGCTTAGATGATGTAATCATGTATAGAGAAAAACGAATGAGATTGGGAATACGATCGTAGTTTCTGATTGTGCGATTTCAACAAATTCTTGGTATAAACATTTCATGTAAATGCTTTGTTTATTTCAAAAAAGTACATTGCAACATTAATTCTATTTATTTATTGTTATTTTTGACGGACTAATAAAATTGCCCGCGGACTAGTAAAAGTAAAGAAGCACTAGTCCGGCCGGACCAAAGCCTAAAAATGTTAGTGTCGAACCCTGTATGTGAGTGTATCTTGATGAGTTACAGATCAGGTCAACATGGTAAATACGAAGTGAGAAAAAGAGGAACTTGAAGAAATTAGTTAAATTTTCGTCTTAATGTGGATTATTTTATTTGGTTAAAGGCATTCACAACCTCAAAATTAAGCAATTTTACCTTGATCGTAACTTTTGCATATTATAAAATGACATCCTAAAGAAAAAAAGGAACCCTATAGGGGAGTCCCGGTACATGTATTGCTTATGCAATACTCTCAGAATGCTTGTTCTCTATTAAGAACTTGATGGCTCATTTGTAATCCCCCTCCTCAATGTATTAAAATGAACCATCATCTTTTCAATACAGAAAAGGTCCCTCCAATCTCAGGGAAACATGATTTGAAGAAACATTAATTTACACTATCTGAGAATGCTTGTGTGTTAATACATGTATGATTTATCCTGACTTTGCTGGTCAGGAGAAGAAGATTTTCAAAAATACAATATTATAATATACATGACTTTGATTACAGGTTGTGGCAAACTTAAAACTACAGTATGTAATAAAGCTTTCACATATTTAAAAAAAATATCTGGCCCAGTGATTCTAAAGAATATTTTCAAAAGAGGTCATTAAATTCACATGAATTTGAAATTTTTTGCCCTTCAAAGAGGTTATGGCCCTTAAATAAACTTGAATTCTTCATCCAAGGATGCTTTGTGGCAAGTTTGGTTAAAATCGACCGAGTTGTTCTGAAGAAGATGAAATTGTGAAAAAATTATGCCAAGAATGACAACAATAATGACAGACACAGTGCACATTTCAATCAGAAAAGCTTATTGGAGCTTTAAGCCTTTTGCTCTAAGTGAGCAAAGAAAACTGTCAAAATTTGTGACTATAGCTGAATATCTCTGCACACTTCGAATACTTTGTCATAACACATGCATTTGTATCCTCTTAATTATAAAGAAACAAATATGTGGCCACTTTGCTTTCTTATTTTAAACGAATTTGGATACATAAGAAATACTCAATAAAGCATAATGCGATACCATGAAAATGTTAAGTAAATTCGGGTTACCGTTATAGACATCAATTTTTGATATATCATTCACGTATAAAATCTTTTACAAATTCATTAATGTTTTAAAAATTTGTATAAACTAACGTCTCTAAATTTTCAAACGACTCTTCTTCCTCGTCATCATCTACAGCTCTGGAAATGACTGGCAGAATTTCTCCAAAAAATGTTGCCATTCTACAATGTCAATGTTAAACTAATGCTTGAAACTAATCCATTAACCCGTACCTTGATTTGAGATAAATCAAGAAGTTCCACTGTAGTTTTGTTACAATAGGTTAAATTCATTTCATAAAATATATAAATGTTATCAAATTTATTTTAAGCTTTATTTATTTTCAAGTGTCACGTTTTCATCAGTCGCAAATTATTTTCCCGAATTCAAACTGGATGCATTATCTTGCAACGTATCTAAACGTCGAAATGATTAAGAAGAAAATATTTATAAACATACATCACTTCCGGAAACAGTGCTGAATGTGAAAAAATCAAAACACAGACTGAAAGACTGCGCACAAACTTTTGATTGACAAACCCTCAAACGGAGCAATGTTTAGCTCTGTCGGTAGCTGGTTTGGGGTTGTGAATAACAAAGAAGCGGAGGAAAAAGAGCAAAAAGTCTTGTCAGGAGAGGAGGCCAAACAAAAAGACCCATCAGCTGAGAAGACTGAACAAACAAAAGAGTCTGAACCAAAGTCCGATAACTCGGCAGAGACAGGTGGACAGGATGAGGAGGAGGAATCCCTAGAAAAGAAGCTAGAAGAGGCGTCAACTGCCGCCATCAACACAGCCAAACAATGGGGGAGTAAGTATTTTATGACTGTGTAAACTGACACAGCTGTGGTGTTATGAAATTAGGGCATTTACCTCATGTACATGTACACAGTAATCCTGTTTTATTAATTTGATTATAGGCATATATAGTTCTGATTGTTATTTAAAAGAATATGTACTGTGAGGTACATATAATTCTTTCAATTAGTTTTAAAATACTCTTTGCCTAATGAAAGATGTCTTTGATATAGTCTGAAAATACAGTGTTTTACCATTCAAGCATGTCATGCTAAATGTTGAAAAACTGTGAAGTCATGATTATATTTATACATGACAGACGACTTATCATACCCCAATGGATTTCTGCTCAGAAAGTTTATGCCAGAAAAATCTATATACCTGGAAGCCTTTGTTTACATTAAGCAGACCACAATCGGTCATGCATGACGTACATATACATAACCATCCATGATAGTGATAGCTTATCCTGTTTTGTTCAGGTAGTAAGATGTATCAAAATAAAATCAATTTGAACATGAAAATCAATGTTGCTAAAATGTTGCACAATTTGTATCTTGTACGTGTTGTAGTTTTTAATGTAGACAAAATTATTTCCATGTCTTTTTTGATGTGTATTAATTTAAAAGTGAATTTTGAATTGTGTTATCTTAACAATCACCAAAAAAAATTATTTCCTTCAGACATTATACAGCACAATGAATAGGAAATTAAGCTGAAATTTTATCGAATCTTACTCTTATAGCAACAAGCACGGTAAATACACCCCAATAAATGTGTTTGAAATATCTTTCAATTGATAATATACTGCATGTAGGAAATTTATGGTGAGTGAAATAAAACTTTTGGAGCTTGAACTTAAGGAATTCATTCATACTTTAGAAGCTATACCAACATGTAATATTTTACTCTGACATCCATGAATAAAACCTGAGAGACATTAAGCAATCACTCAGTCTTTAAGCGAGTCAGTGTTTCTGGTCTGGACTATATTGTATGGGGCCTCAGCCAGTCAGGGCTGATGGTTAGACTTGGACTCATTCCTATCAGAAATGTATGAGTACTTTTAAGTTAATTATAAGCTATCAGACAAGCTTTCATGTTATAGCTTAAAACAGGTCTACTTTGTGAAGATATCTATTTTTGTGTCTTTTCTTTTTTTGTTCACATGCATTATTTTAATATCATTTAAGCCATCTGATTAACATTTTTGATAAACCCTCTCCTTGAAAAAGATGCACCGGAGGAGAAATAGCTAATCAAACAACTGTCAAATTAGGACTGCTTTAACTTCCTTTGATTAAATCTAATTTCCTTGTTCTAGTAGTCTGCATGAGCTATTGATGCTCTGTTCTGAAATAAATATTGTACTGGTATGCATCATCAGGATCATATTGAATGTGTAGTTTATCATATATGTATGTACATGTGTTTAGAGAGGTTACCTGTCAGATATATTTGTTAATTATTTTATTTTTAGGTTACCTGTATTCCTTTAGTAAAACAGCAGGAAAAACAGTAGTAGAAAAAGCAAAGCAGATTAGTAAAGAGGTGGAAGAAAAGGTAGGCTAGCAAAGACAAACAGGAAGTACACATGTACATGTGCATAACTTACGAAAGTACAATAAATATGTCAATTACCATGACTTCAATGTAAATTTCTAGGCTCAGAAGAGTTTAAGGAAAAAAATAGTTCATTTTATCAATAACATCATTTGATATCGCTTAAAAATATAATCACATTTTCAGATAGACTATTTTAATTAATTATTTTCTAAAAAAAAAAAAAGAAAAATACTTTTAAGTACTAGGAAAATATGATTTTCTGAATTTTTTGGTACATACCTGTAAATGTTTGATTAGAAATAAAGAACAGCATTTTCATGGAGAGAGAGAAAATACCTACCGCTTTCAAATGAAAATTTAATCATTAATTTGAACCATTGGTTTTTGAACAAGTAAAAAATTGACAATTGAAATCAAACAATATAAAATATTTTTTGTGCTAAAATGGAACTTCATGTTGATAACAAAATTTAGACAAAGGTTATTTAATATTGAATAATAAAACTTCAATTTTCAGACATTTTTGGGAGATTTCAGCAAGGAACAGGAAAAGTTTGTGACAGAAAAGAAGGAGAAATCCAAACAGGCTGAGGCAGCAGTGCCCCCCTGGGTGGGATACAATGAAGAGGAGAGCATGAAAGCACAGATCCTAGCTCTGTCACAGGTCAGAATCTCTATAAGATACTCAGACCGGGGGGGGGGGGGAGGGGGGGGGGGGGGGGGGGGGGGGGGTACAATGAAGAGGAGAGCATGAAGGCTCAGATCCTAGCTCTGTCACAGGTCAGCATCTCTATAAGATACTCAGACAAGGGGGGGGGGGGTACAATGAAGAGGAGAGTTACTATATAAAACCATAACGCTACAGATCTGCAGCTAGCTCAGATCCTAGCTCTGTCACAGGTCAGAATCTCTATAAGACAATATTTCAGTACCTCCCTGGGAAAGAGGGAGGGGGTGTACAATGAAGAGGAAAATTTAAAGATACAGATCCTAGCTCTGTCACAGGTGAATGGTCACAATCCTTACAGATGAAATTCTATGAATGCCTCCCCAGGTGAGGCACACAGTGATAAAGAAAACTTGAAGGTATGCTCTGTCACAGGTCAGATTCTCTCTGTTCTTCCCTGTGCGGGGTACAGTGAGGAAAACAGCATGAAGACCCAGATCCTAGCTCTGTCAAAGTTTGCACCCTCTATAAGTTACCTGGTAAATCTTTTAAATCCTAGAGATATGTTTAAAACTTGATTGTGTGTAAAATAGATGTAAAAGAGATATGTATTGGACCTGCAAATTTATGATTTTCTAAAAACTTGTATATATGAATGCAACATCAATAACAGTACAATGTAATAAGGTCTGACAGTGGTGTGGCCCAGTGGTTAGAGTGTAAGTTCTTAATTCAGGGATGAAGAACATGTTTCTGATCCTGAAACTGTTGAATCAAACCACTTTGTGACATGGAGACAGTCTTTAGGGTCAGACCACATAAACATAAGTCCTGTGTCACAATAGATGGCTGGGACAAAAAACTCCTCACTGCTCAAAGGCCTCATGTGCCAAGCTCAAGTCTAAATTTGCAGCTTCCTCCAGCTAGTAATGGGTTCTATGTATGATTGTAAAGGAGCATTGAACAAACAATTTAACAAGGTATCAGTATTTTGATGTTGAATTTTATTTTTTTTTATTGAACAAGCATTATTATGATGATGTTGAAGGTTATGGTGAGCTTTTATAATCACCTGTCATCTGTATGTCTGTTAACTTTTCACATTTTGGACTTCACCAGAAACACTCAGCCAAAATCAACCAAACTTACCTAAAAGCATTCGTGGAGCCATAAATTCTCCCTGACGAAACGAAAGAAACCACTTATACTAACTCTTGAACTCAAAGACACTTAATTACTAACTTGCTTTTCTATGATAGATCAAAAGGAAAGTCTAACTGACTTGTATTTCTCTGACAGGACAAAAGAAATTTCCTCAGAAACCCTCCAGCAGGTGTACAGTTTCAGTTTGACTTTGAGAGTATGTTTCCTATTGCCATGGCAACTCTACAGGAGGATGAAAACCTAAATAAAATGAGATTTGAATTGGTCCCAAAACAGTATGTATCATTACAGAAATATTTGATACAAATGAGAGTGATGAAAATTGTTTACTTCTTTTGAATGATATAAGAAGTACATATATTTTAATAGAAGAATGTATGTTATACAGAATGATTTTATGAAGCACTGTGATATTATTTAGAAAATATTCACGAACATAAATGTAAAAGCATATGTCTCCAATTTTACATTTTTTTCCCTGAGTAAATTTCTTTCTCCGTAATTAAACGTTAAAATAAAAGTTTTTATGAGTTTTTTAAGTGTGATGATCTAAATGTGTATCTAAATTGTAGGTTGTATCTCAAAATACTCCTACATATACCCTGTAGAGATTATTTCACATGTAATCATTTTGTCATGTTTTTTTTCATATTTAAGTAAATCTTTCATAACAAAAACCAAGGTCCTTTTTTATGTAAGAACTTATCAGCTAGGACTAAAATGTAATTTTGCAGCAACAAAAAAATTATATTTTTTAACAGTCATTAATTTTGCAAGTTTTTTGGTCATAGTCATAAGTTCTTAATAGCTTAAACGGGCACATGAGTCATATGTATATGTGCACATATATTAAAGATTGCTATCATGATAATCTTTTATATACATTAAATATGATTTGTTATGCTTTAAAAGGTCTCAGTTTTTAGTCCATTTGTATTGGGTTGCTGTAAAATGTACAAAAATGCCAGATTCTATTGTAATCTTTTTTTAAATACTTGGACCTTATGATTCATTGATTTCAGAATCAAAGAGGAGGCATTCTGGAGGAACTATTTTTACCGAGTATCTCTCATCAAACAATCCACACAACTTACCTCCCTTGCTCAAGAAACAGGTTTGAATTTAGAATGTTTAAATGCTGTTAAAAGATGCCAACGATACAAGATTACATACATGAAACTAAGATATTGTATAGTACATGTGATAGGTCTTACAGAAGTATACTAATATTAGTATCATTTCCTTGTAATGAGTAACATTTGAAACTGTTGTAACTTTTCTCAGTTTACATTCAGTTGAACAATTAATTTGAGCAACCTCATTTTATAAGTGTACTTGTTGATATTTCCTTTCATTTCTTACAACACTGTGGGTTTCTTCTGACGTACATGTAGCAATGGTAGATTTTTTTTTAATATAAAGATAGATATAATAAAAAAATTTTAAATGATAACAAAAAAGAAATGGTATAAAGCTGCAAAGTGTAAATTTTTTTTCAATATGCACACTATAAAATACTGTACACATGAATACACTTCTTCATACTTATGTACAATATGTACTTGTATACATGCCTGTAATAAACAGCTTTGTGAACTGCAAAAAAACCCAAAAAACACAAGATGTGTTTGTGAAACACTATGCGCCCGGTGGCAACAAAGTTAAAAAAAACATATTTTTCTCATATAGGTCACAGTCAAGGTCAAAAGTCATTGTTCTTGGTGTCATTTGAAAGAACTTGATTAGTGAAGTTTGCATATCAAATATGAAGTCTCTATCTGTCATGGTTCAAAAGTTATGGTGAAGGTTCAAAAAAGTTATTTATAGCATATAGGACACAGTCAAGATTACAAGGTCATTGACCTTGGTGTCATGTGAAAGAGCTTAATTAGTGGAGTATGCATGCCAAATATCTAGTCTCTTTCTTCGATCAAAAGTTATGGCGAAGGTTAAAGTTTGCCAACAAAAAAGCTATATTTAGCATATAAGTCACAGTCAAGGTCACAAGGTCATTGACCATAGTGTCATTTAAAAGAGCTTATTCAGTGGTGTATGCATACCAAATATGAAGTCTCTATCTTTTATGGTTCAAAAGTTATGGCAAAGATAAAAGTTTGCAGAAAAAAAATATTTTTAGCATATAGGTCACAGTCAAGGTCACAAGGTCATTGACCTTGGTGTCATTTGAAAGAGCTTAATTAGTGGAGTACACATACCAAATATGAAGTCTCCATCGTTCATGGTTCAAAAGTTATGGCAAAGGATAAAGTTTGCAGACAAGGAGACAAACACATAAACAGACAGACAGGACAAAAACAATATACGCCTCAGATCTTTCGATCCAGGTGCATAAAAACAACAAACAAACAAACAAAGCAAGAAATACATTATATATATCCAAATTGCAAAATTACTTAAACAGAAACATTGCAATCCATGTTAATGTGTATCTTATAATTAAATAGTCTTGTGGTTAAATTATTTTTGCTTATTTTCACACATAATCATGATTTTAAACTGATGTTCATCTAGTTTTAACACTAGATTTGCATTATTTAATTTTTTTGTTTTGTTTTCTTTTGAGGGAAAAATCTATAATTCAAAAAAAAAATTAAACTGACATTCTTATGTAATTTATACATGAATAGCCTAAGAACAAACTTTTGAGGCTACAGTAAAATATGCAGACTTCTTATTCTTATTAATATAAAGGATTCACTAACCACTGACATTTTACATTGTTACAGGGAGCACAGGTGAAAGTAAGTCCAGTGATGGATCTCGAAGGTCATCAACAGGAAGTCAAGGTTAGTGTTCAAGGTCATTATGGCAAATAAGAAATCAGTCATTTTTATATCAGAGGTTATGGATCTTAACCATCTCCAACAGAAAGTCAGGTTAGCTTTAAAGGTAGGGATTTAGAAGTAGAAATCATATGTCTGTATGTCATAGGTTGGAAGCAAAGCAAGCCAGAATGTTGGACCAAGAGGTTTTATATTCAAAACTTGGAAGCTTCAACCATATATCAAAATCAGATGTATGGTTTCTACACAAAGTCAAGGTTAGTTTTAAAGTTTGGGATTTTAATAGAAGTAGAAATCATATGTCTGTATGTCATAGGTTGGAAGCAAGCAAGCCAGAATGTTGGACCAGCAGGTTTTATATTCAAAACTTGGAAGCTTCAACCTTATCAAAATCAGATGTATGGTTTCTATACCAATTTGATTTTTTTTTGTCTTCTGTTGAATCATCAGTTTTTGTGGTGGTCCATTTTTTGTGGAACATATGGGTAACTCTCATCCATGAATTAACATCCTCCAGGAATTGATAAACTAGGGCTACAGAGTTGTAAATCCTACTGTATACAAGAGAATACACAAATTTACAATTCCTTCATCTTCGCTAGCCAAGGGTTTCCGATCCGATACCTACTCTACAACCCTTGGAAGATTTGGCTGAAAAATTTAGAACTCGCGCAAACGAATTTGATTGGCTGCGAAGTCGCAGTCTACGCACGGTTTTTACTAATCGACGATTTTCGGCTGAATTAAAGTCTGTTCGTGTTTTATGCAAAAGAAGAGTATTATTTACAAGTGATGAAAGTTAGAACGTGATATATGCTAAAAAAAAACACGGGAGTAATTTATTTGATTTTTTTCTTTTGATTATATATGTTTACAAAAATTCTTGAAAGGACCACATAAGTCAGTGTTCCGCATTTTAGGTGCATCAATTTAAGTCAATCAAATGTCACGGCTCATTGATAATAATTGATACGGCAACATGTAGAAACAATAGTCAAACTCTTGACAAAAAATCTACGAAGAACGATATTTTCTACCACTTTTGAGGTGTGCCCACCAGGGATGGGGTAATTGAAAAAAGTAATTGTAATTGACTGTAATTAATTACATTTTTTGAAGTAATTGGATGTAATTTGTAATTGAACATTTTTTCAATTACTTGTAATTGTAATTTAATTAATTACACTGAAAAAATACCATGTAATTTCAATTACTTTTTCAATTACATTCAATTACTTTTATATAATACACATGCATGATATATTGTCACCACGACCTCCCCATTATACTGTCTTTTACTTTATTGCAAAACATATCCTCAGTCCTTCAAATATACAGAAGACTATTTATTTTATAATAATAATTTAGTGTCTTTCTAATCATTATAAACAAATTCGATTTTTTTGTTTTATGTTTATCTAAATTTTGCACCACCATTCTTCATTTGGTCTATTCAGCTATGAAACACATAATTTATTAATTTCAATCTCTCTTTACTTGTTTGATCAACCTAGAGTAAGAATGTGTGGGTATGGAGAGATAATTGCCCTCCAGACCACAGCTGTAAATTGCAATCAAAACATATCAACCCCTCTTAAGAATGTATTCATTCCATGATCATGATGTCAAAGCCAATGCATGGGGATAATTATTTCAATTAAAAATCCTCTGCTAGTTTGAGAAAAGAAAAACTTTCAATTTGATAATTATTTTAACATATAAACAGAATTTTATGAATGAATTTTGTATCTGAAAAAGATATGTTTTGTACAAGTATTATATAAATATGAAGTGAAAATGTTCAACATAAGTAGCAATTTAGGATGTTAAGGTTACCTTTACAAGAAATATTTAATTTGAGGGGGTATAGTTGCGACTTATTCTACTCTATTTTAAAAAAAACCCTGTTAATCAAATATCATAACCAATGCAATTTGTGTACATGTAGGTTTTGTGTGGAGGCAATCGATCAAACTGATCTTGAATAGTTCTTTACAGTTATGCAAATAAAAGTCAGAGATACACAATGCCTACTAGCTTATTATTCCTTGTATTGTTTGTGCAGAGGCTGTGCTTATATACAAGTGAATGATCTCTGTTCTGTATATTCATATAATTATAAAAAAATTCCAAAAAAAAAAATTGAAAATGTAATTTGTAATTTAATTAATTACTTTTGTAAAGTAATTGTAATTTAATTAATTACATGTCTTAGGAAGCCTGTAATTTAATTGTAATTTAATTGAAGAAAAAATCAAAGTAATTGTAATTTAATTAATTACTTTTTAAAGTAATTGGCCCCATCCCTGGTGCCCACTGCCCACAGCTGTATGAGGTTGTTGTGTTATATTCCACATCAAATTGCATGGAGGTCGCCATATTGTTTCAAACGTCATAATGATTTACGTATGTTACAGCTATTTTCATTGGACATATGTTAAAGAGCTTCAAGGGACTTAACTCAATTACGGCGATAGGTGGCGCAATTAAAGTTCCCGTTTGAAGGGCTAAATCTGCCAAGGGTTGTAAATATCGGATGTAAACCCAAGAGAACACACAAATTTACAATTCCTTAAGAAGGTATAAAATTTAAGCAATGAACAAAACTGGCCCTTTGAATTTTAATGATTCCACAGTATTTGTCTCCAGAGAGAACTCGCTTGGTGGAGGTCTTTCAAATAGGATTTTTGGGGGAAGGCTGATATGGATTGATTTTTTTTGGGGGGGGAGGGGAGATGTCACATGGGATTTGTAAGAGGGTGTGTTTTTGTATTTACTTGTATTTTTTTTGGGGGGGGGTGGGGTGGGCAGGGTCAACTAAAAAAATTTTTATTTGGGGATGAGGGTGGTCACTGGAATGTTGTTTTGGGGATCTATATAGAAGATACAGGGAAGATAATAACTGCTGATTTCTGTATTTATGAAAGAGTTATGCTCCTTGCACCATATTTAAACTGAAATGCTACATAAAAGTCCCAAACTGCTTTTCTTTCTGTTTTTCTCTTAGAGGTAAGGTGTCACATGGGATTTGTAAGAGGGTGTGTTTTTGTATTTACTTGGATTTTGTTTTGGGGGGGGGTATGGTCAACTAAAATTTTTTTATTTGGGGATCACATGGGATGGGGGTGGTCACTGAAGGGTTGTTTTGGAGATCTCCATATAGAAGATACAGGGGAGATAATAACTGCTGATTTCTGTATTTAAAAAAGAGTTATGCTCCTTGCACCATATTTAAATTGAAATACTTCATAAAAATCCCAAACCGCTTTTCTTTCTTTTTTTTCTCTGAGAGGTAAGTATTTGTAGACATTTGGTTGTCTTACTAGCTCCCTATGTGTTGAAGCTATTTTTTACAGACTGTGTAAAAATTATACTTATATAATATTTGAAATGTACCAAGTCCATGTATAAAACATGTTAATATATAAGTAATGAACATTTGATAAGTATACAAAATGCCAAAATTAAAAAGATTATATGTCCAGAAATATTTCACAAACTAGGCTGCTAAAATATCTGTGAAATATTCTTTGAATTGAAAGTGTTTATCATAAATTTATAATTAAATATTACCTTCAAATCTTATTTAATTGTACAGTTAAAAAAATGAATAAGTCTGATTTTAATTGCATTTAATATCCTACAAACCATTATTAGTTTATCTTAAAATAAGTAATAGGGATCTGCCCAGTGCTTGAGATTTTCTGTTAAGTGAAGGGAGTCTCCAGTATTGAATTGAAAAACAAAAGAAAAAAAGACAGACAAGAGTGGGTGGGACGATTTATTCTGTGTTGTTTTAAAAACACTAAAAACTTGATTGAATTGCTTAACTTCCAGCTCCCAACAACAACCATCGAATTAGTATGACCCCACCCCAGCCACCATCAGACTTTTTTTGTGTGGATAACTATGTGGTGTTTTTTCCTTCTTTTTAATTTGTATTTATTTGAAATTTTCTACTTCCGGAAGTGTACAAAATTTAAGATGTTTTAATGCATTTTTAGGACTCAGGAGTAGACCAGTTTTTAACTGGTTGCTTCCTAAAAAGTAATTCCTCAGAAAAAAATAATAAATATTAAATTTTTTAAGGAAAATGAAGAATTTCTAAAAAAAATTTTTTATTCTTGTAAAACGTTTCCTCGGAGTATCTTTAGTTTATGATTTTTTTTTACTTCTTTGTGATTCAAGGTTTAAAATTAAAAATAAAATAATTGCACGGCTTGAGAACGTTCAAGGTTTTCCCTTTCTACATTATGTAACCAGCGTGCATTTTTATGATAACAGTTGTTTATACTTCTTAGGAAGAAATTGTGACAAGGCTGAAAATGAGATAGCTCAGTCTGATTCCATAAAGCTATTGATTTGTTTATTTTGTTCTAGCTCATTTATCTTGCAAGAATTTTGTATGCATTGAGCTAGGAGGTATTTTAATTTAGTTTCATTTTAATTTATTTTTATTATTATAAAGTTGGTAAAAATTGGAGTTTAAAAGTAAAAAGATTCTGAGGTTTTCTTAAATTCCCTGACTTGAGTCTGGGTTACTAGCTGTATCATTTGATAGCATTTTTAGTCACTAGAACTATAGGTGCTTACGATTAATAGGGACTACGGTGTTTTCTGTTGTCTTCTGATTTAGTTTCTTCTTTGCTTCTCTCTAGTGTTCTGGAATAAAAAAATAGAATGAATACAAATGTTAGCTCTGTTCAACGCTTCCCGGCTCTCTCTCCAAACAAAATGATACGCTTGTCAATGCTGACATTTGTTTTCAATCTGCAAAACAATTTGTTTTGTTTTCAGTTGACGTATTTGAAATATGAAGGAAAACCAGACCAATGTTTCATTGAAGCGCCCTAACAAGCTATAAACAAGTTTTTATGTTTCGTAAAATTCTGTAATGATAATGAGACGGAAGTTCAGGGTAGAATCTTGTATGTACTGATCATCAATCAAATGTGTGTTCGAGATTTGTGGACGTAAGGTAGTAATGACGCTTCATAATTAAGGTCCTCTTTTTCGCTGTCAAGGGCATCCTAGTGTCATGTAAAGATGTGAATTCTTCGTGCATTCATAGATATTATAATTATCTAATTTGATATGTGCAATATTTTGGAAACTTCAATTTTCTTTTTTTTTCTCTCTCTCTCTCGTACAACTGTGAAGTTTGATTGCATTCAATAAACACTTGAAGTAAATAATTTCTAACTAAGGAAAAGGCTGCATTTCCAACATTGCACTTAAACACTGAAAATGAGACAATAAGATTTGAATCGATGTCCACGTTTAGGAAATTCTGTACTAATGCAGCTAAGATACAATTAGAGGAGTGATGAAGAGAATTAATTTTGCAGTACATGATTCATTTGAATAAAATCATGTGATGATGACTAATTTGTCACATGCAGTTTAAGTAACATGTGTTCCAAATATTGATTTTTCTGGGTTTTGATCCCATCAAAAAACCCATTATTTACATCTCACGGTATCTAACATGCCCCAATTTCTTCCCAATTTTACTATGCCTTTAAATAGTTTTTATTTATTTATGGAAATTTTTTCCTTCTTCAATTTTCTCTGCTTTTTCGTCATTACAGTTCAATTTGTGAAATATTTTGCGTACATTGCAAAAATGACACTGTCTTTTAATTTCATTCCCTATGGTGCAATTTGGCTAAGATATCACAGATCTAACCTTTCAGTCCTCTCACTATTCTTATCTCAGTATGATTACTTATAAATGTCCTCAAACCGAAATGCTAAATATATCGGTATGTTCCCGAAAGCAACTTCAGTGTCCCCAAACCGAAAGGATAATATATTAGTATGTTTCTGAGAGCAACATCACAATATTAAAGTTTAACTTTTTAATGTTTTCTTATTTTTTCTCCAAAATTCCATCTTTGTGTAGAAGCTTATTAAAACATGTATGTTAAAATAATGTATATATATGTACAACATTAGCTGCCGAGACATTCATACTCTTTTCTATGTCCTTGACTTCATATATTTTAATACGTTGCAAAAAAAAATGCTGTCATTTTATTTTGATTTCCCTCATTCGAATGAAGACTGCTTAGTTATAGCTTCATCACACTCTCAGAGAGAAGCATTGATCTCCAAAACCGTCATTAAACAGACAGAAATTAAATGCTGGTGTTGGCTAACACGCTGCAACGATTATATTGGGGAGAACGCTAATAGTGCATGCTGTAGACGCTTAACTTGCAAAATATTACGTAATTTACAGCCATGATTGACATAATTTCCGTGTCGTCTTTGTCTGTATTTGTGATGAGGTTATTGAACTCGGGCTTTTTTTCTTTGCTTCCTGACAATTTATTGAAATGTTTTTTTTCTTCAATATTCCAATCAATATGTAAGAAGACTGGCATAAATCTGTTAAAATTGTACACCCACGTTACTTTTATCCTTTGGCCACAAGCCATTTGTATATTCCTAGACAATCTAGAATAACCTCGTAACAATATTTTTCCCCATCAGGAAAAGAGGTTATTCCTCTTTGAATATTGCATGTCACTTCACTGATCCGGGAAACTTCTGTTGAAGCCAAACATTATTTTTTGGGTTTTCAATAAACTCAATTGAATTCGAAATGCAGTTTCTTGAGTTTTTTCAGATTTGAAATACATATTTTTCTTTCAGAGAAAAAAACAAGTTAATGTTGTGCTCTTTTATTTTTGGTATTGAAATTTAAAAACTAAATATTTTTTTCTTTTTAATTTTCCATAAGGTTCTATCATACAAAAGCCAAATTCCTTTAACATTTTAACATTGATGTTTCAAATTTTGAAATAGATGTGATTTTTACAATGCAGTGTATATTAAAAGAAGCGGCTCTTCACCTTTGGCTAGTATTACTTATAGTGTTACTTTGGAAATAAAGTTTTGTTTCTAAATATTCGTTATCCATTCCTGTAAATCAAACAGCAAAACTTTTTGTTTTGTCTTACTGCCATGTATGATAATAAGCATGACAAATAAGCTATCGGTCAATATATTACTAGTATTTTAGCTTAACATTAGAGAAAAAATTTAACACTTTGCCTTTTATCCGTTTTTTACGCGAAAATGAATATTTTTTTCTGCATTATAAACACATATATTGTGAAGGTACTAGGCTTTTGTTTTCAAAGGAGCAGTTAGGATCGGCTGGTCAAGATTAGTACTGTACTCTGATATTGAAACCAAACAAAATAATAAACCAGTGTTCTTTTTATAAACAAGAACGAAGTTAAAAAATTTCATTGTCGCATCTGCTTATAATCAAGTACACAATAAAGCTAAGTAAAAGAGCCTTGAGAATTTTGTTGGCATTGTTACAACAGTGTGTTTGACAACTGAGATAATCAGCGGGTCTGTTTAACATTCCTTCTTGTTTACAAATTTTAAACTCAGTCAGCCGTGGAGTGAGACCTCCTTTTTAGATTGAAATGACCCAGATGAAGCTAAGTGACCTATTGTAAACCCTGCTAAGCTTTTTATTCATGTAAGGATTATTTATTTGTTACCTTACATTTCACCTGAAAAATGGAGTCACGTGCCAAGATCTCATTTATCCCACCGTAGATGTTTACTTGGAAGTTATATCGATCTGCGTTTTACAGCAAGACAATCAATTTATAAATACCCTTTTTCGATATCGATATATTTTTGCAATTGGATATTGCATAAGTCTAGACACTCTAGTTTGTTCCATGTATGTTTTTCTTCAGATAATAGTACTGTAGCAATTTACCATATGTTCTTTGTGATATTTGTATATATTAAATCAATTAAAATAGAACTTATTTTGGTTTGAATGTTAAGATTTTAAGTGCCTATTTAGTATACTTTTCCTTATAATTTATCATTTCTGGGTGTCAATTTTATTTGTGAAATATTTATTCTCTATGTTGAATCAGAACCATCTTTTCTTCACTTATACTTACACGTAGAGATGCCTGCACTTTTAATTTGAATGAATTTAAATAGAATGTGCAATAGCGAAATGAAACAAGTATATAGTAGAAGGTTTTTTTTTTTTTTTTTAAATAGAAATTAAACGTATATTTTTTAAATACGCAAATGAATATTGCTTAAGGTCTTAAAATTAAACGAACTTATCGTATTAAAAAATGAATTGTGAGGACTACATGTATATCAGAATCAGAAAATTTTATTTAGAGTCGGATTTTTACAACAAGTAGCATAAGCTCTGTAGAGCTTTTGACCGACATAACTATAAGATATTAACACAGTCCGTAATATTTGATAGATTAAACCTTGAACATTTTTAAGTATTTTGAAATTATGTAATATTGTTTAGACGTCCGACACATGCATATTAGGTCTCGTGATTAGCACCAGATTTGTTGAAACTGGATTCTTGCCAAAAAAAAAATATGCATACCATGTAAATTTTAGTATCTATTTATGCATTCTTGACCCTGCCTTTATTTGATTAAAAGAAGATATTTTTAAAATGATGATAGACATTGCTATTTCTGAATACAATTAATTCAAGGACGGATGTGGTATTTTCTATAAATACATGTGCAAGGGGATGGTATTCATATCGATTTTCACCCAGTCCAAGTGGATTTCAACTGGAAAATGATTCTCGATCAGTTTAATACCGACAATAACAGGACATGACATACTTTCTCAGTGGCAAGTTGCCAAATATAACGATTTATATTAATATTTATCGCTGTCTGCAATCTGTTTAAATAAAATAATTAAAATCTATAAATTTATATTTAGCTTACCTGTACCTTGTGTTTTTGGGAAAACAGGTAGTTCAATAAATTCGATTTTTTAGGATAATTTATGAACTGGGCTATATTGTTTTCAAGGATACTGTCTGGTCCTTTTCTAGATTGAGCTTGTAACAAAAATCACTTTCAAATTGATCATTTCTCCCAAAGGCGTTAAATAAAGCTGCTGCTGTTGTTGTTTCACTGTCACTGAAAGGAAAAGGATGGTGTGAATTAGAAGTTTTCATATTATTTACTCTCAGAAGTACATTTCCCTGACCTAGAATAAGTTTTTCTCTGTTTGTCTGTAATGTATTAAAAAATATAAAAAGTAATAAGACCTATCTTCCAGCATAAAAATATATTAAAATTTTCTATTATTCCAACTCATACACATTTATTTAAGATGTCGTGCAATTTGAAAGAATATTTTTTGAAGTAAACTGTGTTATGTTAAGGAAATAATGACATAATTTTCTTTAGAAAAATATATCCTTTTTTTTCTTAATTGCAGAACATTCAAAGAAAACGGATAACGGATCCAGGGAGGAGGAGTTCGCTCCTAGTAGTCCTAACGAGAATGAGTTTGTCAGTGACAGCTTCCAGGGGGATGAGATCAGTCAGGAGGACCTAAAGAAGGAGATGCAGATGTTAGGGGTGGAAGATAACAAGTCAGAAACCAAAACGGAGAAGGAGGAAGGTACGGCTTGTTTAAATTACTAGTAGTTCTTCAGATATTAGTGATGGAAGATAAGAAACCAGAAACCAAAACAGAGAAGGAGGAAGGTACAACTTGTTTAAGTTTGTTCATCAGAGGTTAGAGGTGGAAGATAAGAAGTCAGAAACCAAAACAGAAAAGGAGGAAGGTAAGACTTATTTAAGTTAGTTCTTCAGATGTTGGGGATGGAAAATAACAAACCAAAAACAACAAGAGGCCCATGGGCCACATCGCTCACCTGAGAAGCTTTGACCATTCTGTTCTTTACCCGATTTCACCCTTGTTATACATAATGCATCCCCACCCTACCCCACTGATCATAATTTAGACATTTTGAAATCTACACTACCCCATGATCCTTCCATGGGCACATATGTTTCAGCTTTTCTGGCCCAGTGGTTCTTGAGAAGAAGATTTTCAAAGATTTTTCCTATATATTTCTATATAAAACTTTGATTCCCCATTGTGGCCCCACCCTTCCCCCGGGGGTCATCATTTGAACAATTTAGAATCTACATTATACCAGGATGCTTCCACATAAGTTTCAGCTTTTCTGGCCCAGTAGTTCTTGAGAAGAAGATTTTCAAAGATTTTTCCTATATATTTCTATGTAAAACTTTGATTCCCCATTGTAGCCCCGCCCTTCCCCCGGGGGTCATGATCTGAACAATTTAGAATCTACACTTTACCATGATGCTTCCATATAAGTTTCAGCTTTACTGGCCCAGTGGTTCTTGAGAAGAAGATTTTCAAAGATTTTTCCTATCTATTTCTATGTAAAACTTTGATTCCCCATTGTGGCCCCACCCTTCCCCCGGGGGTCATTATTTGAACAATTTAGAATCTACACTATACCAGGATGCTTCCACATAAGTTTCAGCTTTTCTGTCCCAGTGGAAGAAGAAGATTTTCAAAGATTTTTCCTATATATTTCTATATAAAACTTTGATTCCCCAAAATTTGAACAATAGAATCTACACTATACCAGGATGCTTCCACGTAAGTTTCAGCTTTTCTGGCCCAGTGGTTCTTGAGAAGAAGATTTTCAAAGAATAAAATTTCTATATAAAAATTTGATTCCCCATTGTGGCCCCGCCCTTCCCCCGGGGGTCATTATTTGAACAATTTAGAATCTACACAATACCAGGATGCTTCCACGTAAGTTTCAGCTTTTCTGGCCCAGTGGTTCTTGAGAAGAAGATTTTCAAAGATTTTTCCTATCTATTTCTATGTAAAACTTTGATTCCCCATTGTGGCCCCACCCTTCCCCCGGGGGTCATTATTTGAACAATTTAGAATCTACACTATACCAGGACATAAGTTTCAGCTTTTCTGGCCCAGTGGTTCTTGAGAAGAAGATTTTCAAAGATTTTTCCTATATATTTCTATATAAAACTTTGATTCCCCATTGTGGCCCCACACTTCCTCCGGGGGTATGAACAATTTAGAATCTACACTATACCAGGATGCTTCCACATAAGTTTCAGCTTTTCTGGCCCAGTGGTTCTTAAAGATAAGATTTTCCTATAAAATTCCTATATAAAATTTTGATTCCCCATTGTGGCCCCGCCCTTCCCCCGGGGGTCATGATCTGAACAATTTAGAATCTACACTACCCCAGGATGCTTCCATATAAGTTTCAGCTTTACTGGCCGAGTGGTTCTTGAGAAGAAGATTTTTCAAAGATTTTTCCTATCTATTTCTATATAAAACTTTGATTCCCCATTGTGGCCCCACCCTTCCCCCGGGGGTCATTATTTGAACAATTTAGAATCTACACTATACCAGGATGCTTCCACATAAGTTTCAGCTTTTCTGTTGAGAAGAAGATTTTCAAAGATTTTTCCTATATATTTCTATATAAAACTTTGATTCCCCATTGTGGCCCCACCCTTCCCCCGGGGGTCATTATTTGAATAATTTAGAATCTACACTATACCAGAATGCTTCCACATAAGTTTCAGCTTTTCTGGCCCAGTGGTTCTTGAGAAGAAGATTTTCAAAGATTTTCCTATAAAATTTCTATATAAAACTTTGATTCCCCATTGTGGCCCCGCCCTTCCCCCGGGGGTCATGATTTTAACAATTTATAATCTACACTACCCCAGGATCACATAAGTTTCAGCTTTTCTGGCCCAGTGGCTCTTGAGAAGAAGATTTTTAAAGATTTAATTTCCTATATATTTCGATGTAAAACTTTGATTCCCCATTGTGGCCCCACCCTTCCCCAGGGGGTCATGATTTGAACAATTTAAAAATCTACACTATACCAGGATGCTTCCACATAAGTTTCAGCTTTTCTGGCCCAGTGGTTCTTGAGAAGAAGATTTTCAAAGATTTTTCCTATATATTTCTATATAAAACTTTGATTCCCCATTGTGGCCCCACACTTCCTCCGGGGGTCATTATTTGAACAATTTGAATCTACACTAAAGGATAAGTTTCAGCTTTTCTGGCCCAGTGGTTCTTGAGAAGAAGATTTTCAAAGATTTTCCTATAAAATTCCTATATAAAATTTTGATTCCCCAGTTTTCATGATCTGAACAATTTAGAATCTACACTACCCCAGGATGCTTCCATATAAGTTTCAGCTTTACTGGCCCAGTGGTTCTTGAGAAGAAGATTTTCAAAGATTTTTCCTATATATTTCTATATAAAACTTTGATTCCCCATTGTCCCAATTATTTGAACAATTTTGAATCTACACTATACCAGGATGCTTCCACATAAGTTTCAGCTTTTCTGTCCCAGTGGATCTTGAGAAGAAGATTTTCAAAGATTTTTCCTATATATTTCTATATAAAACTTTGATTCCCCATTGTGGCCCCACCCTTGTAATGTCATTAAACAAAGAATCTACACTATACCAGGATGCTTCCACATAAAAAGAAGATTTTAAGATTTTTCCTATATATTTCTATATAAAATATCCCCCGGGGGTCATTATTTGAACAATTAGAATCTACACTATACCAGAAAATTTTCAGCTTTTCTGGCCCAGTGGTTCTTGAGAAGAAGATTTTCAAAGATTTTCCTATAAAATTTCTATATAAAACTTTGATTCCCCATTGTGGCCCCGCCCTTTCCCCGGGGGTCATGATTTGAACAATTTAGAATCTACACTACCCCAGGATGCTTCCACGTAAGTTTCAGCTTTTCTGGTCCAGTGGTTCTTGAGAAGAAGATTTTCAAAGATTTTTCCTATCTATTTCTATATAAAAAATTGTGTCATTATTTGAACAATTTTGAATCTACACTATACCAGGATGCTTCCACATAAGTTTCAGCTTTTCTGGTCCAGTGGTTCTTGAGAAGAAGATTTTCAAAGATTTTTCCTATATATTTCTATATAAAACTTTGATTCCCCATTATGGCCCCACACTTCCCCCGGGGGTCATTATTTGAACAATTTTCTACACTATACCAGGATGCTTCCACATAAAATATAGAAGATTTTCAAAGATTTTCCTATAAAATTTCTATATAAAACTTTGATTCCCCATTGTAGCCCCGCCCTTCCCCTGGGGGTCATGATCTGAACAATTTAGAATCTACACTTTACCATGATGCTTCCATATAAGTTTCAGCTTTACTCGCCCAGTGGTTCTTGAGAAGAAGATTTTCAAAGATTTTTCCTATCTATTTCTATGTAAAACTTTGATTCCCCATTGTGGCCCCACCCTTCCCCCGGGGGTCATTATTTGAACAATTTAGAATCTACACTATACCAGGATGCTTCCACATAAGTTTAAGTGGATCTTGAGAAGAAGATTTTCAAAGATTTTTCCTATATATTTCTATGTAAAACTTTGATTCCCCATTGTGGCCCCACCCTTCCCCCGGGGGTCATTATTTGAACAATTTAGAATCTACATTATACCAGGATGCTTCCACGTAAGTTTCAGCTTTTCTGGCCCAGTGGTTCTTGAGAAGAAGATTTTCAAAGATTTTCCTATAAAATTTCTATATAAAAATTTGATTCCCCATTGTGGCCCCGCCCTTCCCCCGGGGGTCATGATTTGGAATCTACACTGAGGATGCTTCCACGTAAGTTTCAGTTTTCTGGCCCAGTGGTTCTTGAGAAGAAGATTTTCAAAGATTTTTCCTATCTATTTCTATGTAAAACTTTGATTACACATTGTGGCCCCACCCTTCCCCCGGGGGTCATTATTTGATTTGAATCTACACTATACCAGCTTCCACATAAGTTTCAGCTTTTCTGGCCCAGGGTTCTTGAGAAGGAAGATTTTTCCTATATATTTCTATATAAAACATTCCCCAGTCGGGGGTCATTATTTGAACCTACACTATACCAGGAGCTTCCACATAAGTTTCAGCTTTTCTGGCCCAGTGGTTCTTGAGAAGAAGATTTTCAAAGATTTTCCTATAAAATTCCTATATAAAATTTTGATTCCCCATTGTGGCCCCGCCCTTGTCATTTGAACAATTTAGAATCTACACTATGCTTCCATATAAGTTTCAGCTTTTCTGGCCCAGTGGTTCTTGAGAAGATTTTCAAAGATTTTTCCTATATATTTCTATATAAAACTTTGATTCCCCATTGTGGCCCCACCCTTCCCCCGGGGGTCATTATTTGAACAATTTAGAATCTACACTATACCAGGATGCTTCCACATAAGTTTCAGCTTTTCTGTCCCAGTGGATCTTGAGAAGAAGATTTTCAAAGATTTTTCCTATATATTTCTATATAAAACTTTGATTCCCCATTGTGGCCCCACCCTTCCCCCGGGTGATGGAAGTGGATGAGAAGAAGATTTTCAAAGATTTTTCCTATATATTTCTATATAAAACTTTGAATTGTGGCCCCAGAAACCAAAACAGAGAAGAAGGAGGAAGGTACAACTTGTTTAAGTTTGTTCTATAAAATTTCTATATAAAACTTTGATTCCCCATTGTGAAATGATTTGAACAAAGAATCTACACTACCCCAGTAAGTTTCAGCTTTTCTGGCCCAGTGGTTCTTGAGAAGAAGATTTTCAAAGATTTTTCCTATCTATTTCTATATAAAACTTTGATTCCCCATTGTGGCCCCACCCTTCCCCCGGGGGTCATTATTTGAACACTACCCCAGGATGCTTCCACATAAGTTTCAGCTTTTCTGGCTCAGTGGTTCTTGAGAAGAAGATTTTTTAATGACCCCACCCTATTTTTGTCTTTTCTTGATTATCTCCCCTTGCGAGGGGAATGTCCCTTCATTTTTACAATTTAAATTTCCCTTCACCCAAGGATGCTTTGTACCACTTGAAAAGTTTAAGTTATTTCTTCAGATGTTGGGGATGGAAAATAACAAACCAAAAACAAAAACAGAAAGAGAGGAAGGTACGTCTTATTTAAGTGAGTTCTTTAGATGTTAGGGGTAGTGGATCCAACGGATGCATGGCTTATACCGGGATTGCTCAGTGTATCACTGATTTTTCAATGTAGTTTATGTTCCTTTTGATTTTCTTCCCCAATTATAGAAAAATGTTATTCTAAATTTGACTTCTGTGTTACCAGTACAACACATCTCTATTGAATAACTTCCCCAGATATACTCAGTGTGTCTGTTTTTAATGGCGGAACATCCTTATAATCCAGTATATTGCATACTGCAAACTTTTTGTTGACTTAAACAATGAAGACCCTAATTTAGATATGGCTCTGTTATACATTTTCTGTCATCCTTGATCCATGACTTGTTTTCTATCGGATAAATTAAAAAAAATAACTATGTTATCATGACCTTAAAATGATAATAAATCTCTGTTAAAGGTTATCTTTTGTCATCTAAGTTGCGTAGTTTCTCACACTCCATTATAAACATGCGTAGTTAACATGCATTTGATTTATAAATCTGTGATTTATTCATATAGTTTTACTATAATTGTAGATTCTATGTACAGTTTTTTTTAGTGTATATTTACTAAAGATAGAAATAGAATTTATGAATATTATTCTTAAACCAGTTACTGGTATATAGTTGATGATTCTTTTCTTAATACTGCATACTGAAACTATTAGAAAAACCTATATCGATTAGCAGGGAAATGATAGCTTCTTACTACAGAAATCTTTACATAGGTTTAAATGACAAATACAGGCTTATTTTAACTTTTATCTTCATTCCATTTCTTATGAAATTGGATAATATAATCATTCCTTAGAATATATGCCGGAATAATAGCTTATGATTAAGGTGTCTTGATATCCCATTTTAATATAAACTGTAGAATGAATATTAAAAGATAAGATAGAACATACTCTTTTAGAAATATAGCTAACAAGACATGATAATGCAAATCAGGGATCAGGGAAGCATAAAATTGCCTTTTCAGTTTTCATTGCCTCTTCATTTTGCACTTACTAATGCTAAAGATTTATCCGAATAAATGTAGTTTCTCAAATACCTAACAATGCACATTTGTAAAATGTACATAAATCGCTCTTATCAGATAAATTTATGTATGATATCAACATAAAAGAGACATTAAGGAAATTCTTGAGATACATGCAAAAATGTTTTGAATCGTATGCTTTTAGGATTTTAGAGTGTTAATTGGAAAGGACATTGTAATGGAAATGACATAAAAAATTTCCTTGAGTATTATCTACAACAGTCATCTTGTATGTTAATTGTTCTTGATACTGTTCTTCTGTTTTCCTGCATGCTTTTATTTGAAAGAAAAGCTGGTATATGGCATGATCTTTTATGCATGTAAAATGGGAACAAATATTTCTGATGGCCATTCCAAATCTCCTTTTTCAGTTGGGGGTTTCATGATTTTCTTTTATAATTCAAAGGGGAGAAGAGATCTGGCCGTAAACCTTATGAAAGGAACTACTGGAAAGTTTGTTATGAGAAAGATCTAGACCCCAGTAAGAACCAGGGCATGCTGCTGCTTGTATCCTTGCTTTTTCATACACATCATTGTAGTTATGCAATTTTACTATTATCAGATTATAATTAGAATAGCATTTATACGATTAACTATTATTCTGTCTACCTCACTCAATGCACCTAACTTTTTAAAGTAATAACAATATTTATTTACCTCGGTGGTATATTACATGTATACTATAACATTTAAGTAGATGATGGATGTTTATGTATGACCTTAAAATATTTGATGCTGTTAAAAAAGAAAAATGAGTTTAAGTTAATGAAAAAGATTTCGAGTGTGTTCATGTGTCTTAATGTTCAAACTTAAAATTCTAATTAGGTAATGTTATCTTCAGTCTTTGTTAAAGATTATGAACCATATATATTTCATTAGACCAGAAAGATATATTACCCATTTCAATAATAGGGGGAAAAAATACAACGGTAAAACTAAGCTGCAAATCTGATCCTATGGTGTCGGTTAATAATTACACCCAGTCTTTAACTTTATGATGATTTTTTCCTTCAATTTTATTTAAATCGTCGCATTAGATTAGTTCTCTGTTTTCCCTTGGGATATATAAAAGCACCACTAAGTGATGCATGAATATTTTAATATTTTCAATGTGTGTATTTAGAAAATGTATGTATGAGGTCAACTTTAGTAAAAGAAAAAAAATTTCTGGAAAAAAATTTTTCAACTACCTACTGATCCAATAATTTTATTTTGCGTCGGGAAAGGGCAAGCAAACATTATTTTAAAGATGGCCTGACATACATATATCCTGCATACTAGTAATAATCGTTTAGAAAACTGAACCTGAACAACAAAAAGTTGCTAACCCATCATCTGGAGTTAAACAAAAATCATTTCTTTTGAAAGATACCACTTTCTATATTGTTAATTTCTGTATCTGATATAGTGTTTTTTCCTGTCAGTGAGTAAATATTAAACTTTCAATTGGTTATTCTTTCATCCACAGATACAGATGGCATTCCACAATGGGAGAAGGATCTACAACAAGAATTACAGGACTACGAGATGGTGGATGATAACATGGATGACGCTGACATTGAGAATGAGATTCTACAGCAGTTAGAGGAAGAGGAGACGGACGCCAAGTGATACGGCCACCAGTTTAGTGGCATAGGGACCAGCTTAATTTAATGTCTTGTAAATTCTGCAATTGTAAATATATGATATGTAATGTAATGTTACCCAAAGAAGTTTATATATCAGTAGACTTCTATATCAATTGTGAATCTTAGAGATAATTTAACATTCATTTGGTTCTTTTCTTGGGATGGTGAAGTGAAAACAGATCTTGATATATAACTTGGATTCTCTTAAGATTTTATGTAGTGTATAGATAACACCATTATTTGATATGTATGTTAAACCCAGCCAATATTTGTATATAAGGATGAGTAGTTAATTGGTTGCTTGCAATTGTTCTTAATTGATTAATTTTGTTAAGTTTGATTGACAAATTAATCCAGCAAAAGTATGTGGTCTGAATTGTTAAGTATATTTATTTGTAAATTACTGTTAAATAAACATACACAAAACTTGTGCATAGTATTTTAAATGCGTTCTTTCGAAGGATTGTTTTATTTTAAGTTAAATACCTCGTCTAAATGTCAACTTTATTTTCTCTTCGTTTGCTGCGGGTTTCATATTTATAGTACTTATATAAGGCACAGAAATAACAATTTTTTTCAGTTCATGCATATTTGGAGGGGGAGGGGGCGTGCGTCTTATAAGTCTTTCAAACATGTATTTTATGAATCCAAATGTGCTTTCTATGTCCATTTGTCTATTTGAAGAAGTGCATTGACTCATCAATATTTATTGATGAGGCAAATAAATAATGATACAACTGAGAGATTGCAATCAGCCAAAAGACATTATTTATTTATCATGCACTCTAGCATTAGTATATGAAATACAAGAAATGTTTTATAAGAAACAAAAGAGCAACACAATGTAACATCCTTTCTCTTCTACATCTATGGTTAGACCCATCAATCACGTTGGTGTTTACAAAACTTGGAAAATCTTAACACTTAAGCAAATAGCTACGAGATATTTGCAGACATCTCCAGTCATTTGTTAAGACCCTTTAGTCTATGAACATGAAACTATTATTAATCCTCTTGGCATACTGCTTGAAGAATTGGGTTAATGTTTACGGTTTTATCAGAGAATAATCAACAGGCATTTTTGTTTTGGAATATTCAATTAAATCTCACTGAGGAGTTCCTGAGGTAAAATGCTGCTCTCATTCTCCACATAGTATTGATTTTAATGGCTCGATTCAACATTGATTCAGTTCCCTTTGATATCGTTAAATGTTTTGAACTTAACATTTTTATACCAAATTTTAACTCTCTAAATAAAACGATAAGTTCTGCACCTTAATTATAATTTACTAAGATTTTGTTATTGTAAAATGTATTTTTGCAGGTATATGTATGAAATCAGGATCGGAAACCAATTTCTTCAACATCCCCTAGCTGAAATAAATAATACTATATCTTTTCGAAACTCAAGTGATTACAGGACCCCTTTTCTGTTGTTGAAAATCATATTACATTGTGGAAGTAGGTATGGTTTAAGAAAACTCCTTTTCCTAATAATATGAATTTTTGAAAACAGTAATGGATACTTACAAATAATACATTTATAAGTGTTCACAAAGTGCATTAAAGGGAGACGGGGTTCCTACACAAATTTGAAAATTACCACTTATTCTCATTTTAAAAAACAAAATTGGGTTGATTAATTTGTCTTTTGTTTCTTCTGGAAAGTATGTTTATTGTAATAGATTTGAATTGTTCATAATTTTTCTTTGCTTGGTAGACAACACCAGTGTTCAGAACTGTGCAATGGCCGGGTGTCCTGGCACCTTAATTTAAACTGACATAGGCGTTGTTTCAATGCAGGACTTTAAAAATACCCCCATTTTTATGTACAAACGGCAACGAGAAAGCTTGAATTACCCCCTTACATTCTTTTATCATTAATGTGCTTTGTTTTTGCATTTAGGTCACCAACTAAAATTACTGATAAAATTACTTTATAACTGTAGTTCTTTTTGTCAGAGAAAAAAAATTGATCAAACACGGCTGTTTTTTTGGTCCACTTAAAAATCCAGTTAAAACTAAATCATTACTTGATAAAATCGTTGTCCTGTCGTGTTTTAGCTGATGAATTTATATATCAAGTTACAAATAATGGGCCATGGTTAATCAATTGCACCGAGTGACTTTAGTTCTTCGAGGTTAGTTTTGTAAGAGAATCAAATAGAAGCGTTCAATTAATTACGATGTTTCCTATGGAAAAAGGAATCTTCCTTGAATCGTTCATGCATTGTTCGTGTAGCCAAGAATTTTTTTATTATGGATGAAATAAACTATGTTATTTGAACTGTCGAGATGAAAGAAAAAACGTTTATTACTGTAAAATCACAAATTTCTGTATGGGGTTGATTTTCTTTATTTTCAAGATATGGAGGGATCCACGAATTCATGATCACCACGAAACGTAAAATTTCACATGCATTAACACTCAACATTTTCCAACCATTAAATCAAATCCCCACAACCAATACTTTTCCCTCAAACCTTGAAAAATTTTACCCCACGAAAATATGTGATTTTACAGTATATTTTAATTATGAGAATATAAAACATTTCTTTACCCAAGAAATATCAAAGTCATATACTGTTATAAACCATGTGTCATTACACAAAAAATATTAATTCACAGTATAAATTTCACCAAATATACATAATAATTTTTTTAAAAGTTCGACATGAATAAGCTCATAAGCCTTTAAACCCTATGCCAGTAAACAAATCACAGTATCAAGTTAACCAACATACATAATTTTAATAAAGTTCGGCATGAGTAAGTACTTGTGGCCAATCCATATGCCGATTCGATATATACTAGCAATCTTGAAATTTATAACAGAAATCACAAGACATCACAAAGTATGACACTGTCACATCAGTGTCATATTTCTATTTTGATAGAAAAGGATGTTAATAGCAACAAAGTTTGACGATAAACGAAAGGACTTCAACTTTTTAATCGTCAACTCCCCTTACTTATGTAGCAATATATCCTTAACACCTGCACATTGAGTTAATATTTCTCTTAGGATTCTATACGCAAGATCATGTTCTATGTACGAAACAATTGCTAAAACGAGAAAAGCGTTTGACTAACAAGTTGATGAAACAACAATTCCGTTTAAAGTATTTTTTTTACTGGTTTTATGACGGTCACAATGGCCTTGTTAGCAAATAAAATCTATCAATAAATCAACTGCTGATAGAATTCTTTATGCCGCTGTAATGGATTAATTGATTGTATATTGTTTGACGTCACTCTCGAGAATTTTTCACTTATATGGAGACGCCATCCTTTGTCGGTGGAGAGCTGCAAATTATGTCCTTTACTCAGCACTTAGCTAGGGCCTTTGAGCAGAGAGGGATTTTTTTTGTACCAGCACCTACTGCGACACGGGACCTCGGTTTATACGGTCTCATCACTGTAATGGAAGATTCGGAGGAATACCGGGTATAGTTTTGTCCTGTCCGTCCGTCTGTCAGTCCACAAAAACTTTAACCTTGCCAATAACTTTTAATTGGACGGGGCCATGGCTTTCATATATCACAGAAGTATTCCTTGTGACAAGACCTTCCATTGGGTACCACTAGATATGACCTCTTGACCTAAACATTGAAGTTTGTATACATTTTTTTACCTTTTTACCTTGATTTTAGAGTTTGACACCCCTTTCTTAAAGAAAACTTGGTCATAACTTTTGGACAGTTAGATCAGGGCTCTCATATTTCAAAGGTGTATTATTTATGACAAGACCTTCCTTTGGATGCCAACAATTTTTACCTTTCGACCTCGACCTTGGAGTATGACTAGCATTTGAGAGCAGTATTTTGCAAACACATATTGTTCATTCTAATCCTTAAGCCATTATTTACCAACTGCATTATCCACGAATTTTTCCTGCTATTTCTTGACCATGATAAGGAGCACACGGTGGGCGTGATCGGTCGGCAGAGGGAAGATGTGCACTCCGTGGCAACTTATCCTGCTTCTGAAATTTTAGAGGTTCATGTTCGCTCTCCTCCTTATAATGGTTGCATTAATGGTTGACAGGATACTAGTAGTTGATCTTGAATACTGTTTGTTATTTTCATATTTCATGATGCAATCTCGTTCACCATCCCATGTAACAGGTTATGACGACGAAAGGTAATTAATCTGAAAAAAAAATAAAGAAAGCCAAACTTAAATAGGAGAAATCATACGTCCATGAAAATTCTAGAGGTGGCATCAGGTGCCTTGGAAAAGTAAGCAGGCCTGTTAATTAACCGATCATACTCATCATGTATTTGTAAACTGAATATATATTAAATTAAAGTATGATCATCAAACAAAGAAGTAATAACAGTAGGGGGCTTGCGTGTAATATATATGGGGATGACGAACAGTATTCATGCTCAAAAGTCCCTGAAATAATACAAAATAGGAGCACATCATACACGGACCTCCGACACATTAGGGTTGGGATAAGGTGTCATGTAGAAGTGAGCACACCCTGCCGACCGGTCATACCCGTCGTGTGCTCCTTGTCATGATCTGGAAATAACGGAAAAACCCATTGTAAATTCAGTGAGAAAGTAATGGACTAAAAATTAGTATGAAAAACGTATAACACACAATACATGCTAAAATAAATGCTTTCGTCTCGTTTTCATGACAAGTAGCACACAACGGGTAATACTTCATGGACGTTTTAACTTGAATGCTTTTCGTTTTCTCCATATATTTCATTTAAATTTAAAGTGTGATGGTCTTATTTGTTTACAAAACATACAACTGCCTATTAATTAACTTGTGCAACAGCAAGGTTTACATGAGTGAAACACATGGAGATAATAAACTTGAATCAAATGTGTTTTGAAGACAACTGCAATTATAAAGCAAACATAACGTATGGAATATAAAAAGAATGTTAAGTGTTAATTACATACTATTCTATTTTTTTTCCAAAATATGTTATTTTTCTACAAAATGAACCATCAGTAGTAAGCCTTTTAAGGATTTTAAACCATACAATATCACATTTCTGTAATTTGCTGCCGTCAGTTTACGGTTGTTGGTTTTGACTTTACAATCGACCTCAATTGTACCAAGTTAACGCACTTCTCACAACTTCCGTTCTGAGAACCCCGGATGAATTTGAATGGATTCTTTTGGATGGAAATTATAGAAGTGAGTTCGTTTATTCAAGGTCTTTTGAAAGCTTTTAATTCCTTGTGGTACCATTTGAAGCTTTTTGCATGAATAAAACTATTGCGTACTTGTGAATCATCTGTTTACGACAATGTTGATAACTAATTATATAGAAAGCAAATTGAGTAATGAAAATGTACGTCAACTTTTGGTTTTAAAAAGCACTAAGTACCACATTTCCTGATCGTCCTTGATCCATATCCAATACTATAAATAGTACAATATCAGACTATCGGTCCTTCTGATATGTTATGTGACATGACTAACAATAGAACACATTATCTACATTTTGTTTTTCTGAAAATGGATTGACAGTTATATTTTTACGTCTAATGTTGTAGCCAATAGTACTCTGCTCATCTTAAATCCAAACGATCAAAATGGATGCTCGTTTAAAAGATTCACTTGAAGATGTTGACGAAATTTCAGGTATGCCAACGTTTCATTTTTCGTACATAATTCAAAATATGATTCCGTCCTCCATAGCAAGCAGCCAAAGAATAAAAACATTTGACTTGGAGTTCGAAGATAATAAAGAAGTCAGTGTATTGAATGACGATGACGTCACGGCAATTCCTGTAGGCAGTATGGCGGAAGGTCTAAATATGCCAAACTTTATGGAAACTACGAAAGAAGGCTGTAATTTTTTGGCTTTGTCAGATATTGATATCATGCTAGTCATGAATCAGTACCTTATAACATTTGACGAAAAGGAAAAACTAAATTTGAGGTTTGTCGAAGCTAAGGAGCTACTACCATGGGATTATTATGCATTAGCAGAGACCAACGATATTCATCCAGGATATGTCCGAATTAATCGATCTAATACTATGTTATTTGATCAATACCAAGATAGAGAAATGCTTCTTCTTAATTTTAAAATGTATAATATGCAAAAGAAGGAACTTGTTGACAATGTAATGGTGAATGGACCAGCATTGACCATTCCCCAATCTGTCTCAGACAGAAAAGTAAACGGAAATCCTTTACCAATGGACAAAGTTCTTGCCATGCCATGCAAAGAGTGGCCTCCTCCAGCAGTTCCATGGATTCAAAGATCTAAAGAAAAAGACTGGCTTCCAGAAACTTTGATTCAGAAGATTGTTGAAGCAGGTTGTCATATAGTTCCAACACATCACAGAAAAGTCGACGATTGCAAATCAAGGGACGAATGGAGAATATCATTTGCCACTGCTGAAAGGCAAATTGCAAGAGAAGCTTTGACTGATATTCAAAAACAAGCATATATTGCTATCAAAATACTTTATCACCAAAGGCTTAAGAGACAAGAATTACTTTCATCATATCATCTGAAAACTGTTTTCTTCTATACCTGTGAGCAAATACCAAGCTCACGCTGGGAAGAAAATATAGGATCCTGTATATTATGCTTTCTTGATATTTTAATCAAATACGTGAAAGAGGGGAATATTCCGAATTTCTTCATTCCTGAGAACAACTTGATAGATTATTTATCCCAAAAACAACTTGACGAACTGTGTGAGGCTTTGACACAGATTCGAAAGAATCCAGTTGAGCAGTTGCTGCTATTTTTTGACGACAAGGTAATAGAAAACTTAGGAGTAAAATTGGAATTTCAAAGTATCCTTAACCCTGTTGTAGCTGATATGGAAAAGTATTCACATCATCCAAACATAATTAAATTCTTGAAAGAAGTGATCAGACCATGTTCTTTGAATATGATGCGTGGATATATGGAAGGAGCAAAATACAATGAGGCTTTACGAACTGGAGAGGACTTGTATTGTCTTATGCTTAAATGTGAAATGACAGAGGAATCACTTGCTGAATTCTTCTTAACAACAATACCACAAATAACTACTGATCAAGAAATGGTGATAAACTTTTTTATCTGCATAACGAAGATCTATGAGAAGGAGAAAAGTTTTGAATGCTGTAGAAATCATTTGTTACATCTTTTAGAAACAAAACAGACAGGCGTGCACGAAACGAATTGGGAAAATTGTTGGTTTCTTTGACTTCGTAAATAATAATTAATAAATTATCAATTCTTTTGCATTTTTTGTGATCGAGACCATTTAGACATAAAGTTTCACTGTACCAATGGAACTTGGTTTTAGAATCAGCACCAAAAAGTTCAACTATAACTGCATATCTTTGTTTAATTAAGATAACTGTAATCTCATTTATCTTAACTAATTAAGCAATTAGGTACATTGAAATTTGATCCACTATTTTTTTTTACATCTTTTTAAAGCAATACAATAAATTTTTTCCCAATCATATTGGAAAGTCTCATTGATCACTTGCATCGCATTTCAAATGATAATCCCTACTTATTCAACAAAACTTGTGCGTGACAAATTCAGTTAATAACCATATATTATTAATCTTTTAATTCCAGATTATGTAATTATTGTTATAAACCGTTTAATATATATTTTAAACAAAATTTCATTTTGAAATATTAATTTCCATCTGAAATTTTCAAAAAAGCACAGTACCAGGATTTATATGAAAATATATGTGTTTATTGTTACAACAGCATACTTCTCTACTCTATGCTGTAAAAGTTTATAAAATGATTGCCAGCATTGATTGTTTATTTACGAATATAAAATAAAGATCATCATTTGAAATTGTCATGGAATTATTTGTTCAAGCTTTCTCAAATTTTTAAGTAATAAAGATAAGTTTAACATATACATCATTCTATTAATTCAATACTTTATCGTTAGATACATTAAGTTCTTTCAAACAATACGTTTCGAACACTCAGCAAATTACTGATATAGTTTGTCTCTGATCTTGATTTTTTAAATTTTTTTAAATACACCTACAAACCGTTTTAAAGAACATCACAAAAGAATAGCCATGTACAGTCTGGTCCAGAGGATAATTTATTGGTTGCTTTTAAAGAAGACAAAAAATTAAATACTATTGCTCATTATACTCACATATAAATATCTTCATTAAAATTACAAAAGGGCAGAATAATAAAGAGCATCAATTGCATAAAAAGGATCAGGTATCCAAAAAATTATAAAAGTGATAAATTTATTTTAACGAATTATTAAATAAGGTGTCTTTTACATGCAACCATAATAATTATTTAAAATATTAAAAAAAGTAGTTAAATGCAAGGAAAACAAACAGGGAAAGAATTTAAAATATTGTATAATAATCATTTATGACAAATGAAATCACGAAAACGCCTACCTGAGTAAGAAATTACTTTTGATAATGGTGTGACCTTGACTTTTAATTCACTGACGCATATGGCAAATGAACAGATTTTGTCAGTAAATCACAAACTTTTCCTTTTCCTAAAGTTATTCATAATGCCGTTTTACGTTTTGCAAAAACAATAAAGCTTTCATACACCGTGTAGAAATATTTTAAAATTTTGACCATCGAATGTGTGTTGCTTTCTGCTTCATTTTCCCATTACAATTTAATTTCATAGATCTGTAATGAGGATATTAATCAACAAATTAATAAAGGACATGCATTCAATATTTTTTATTTAGACAGGAAATTTACTCAACAATCGGTACTGTGATTTTGAATATTCAACGCACATTTTTTACATTCTTTCATTCTAAGAGAAATTATCACTGACTTCTTATTACAATATGAAGATAATGAATATAATATAAAGTTATCAAATAAAAATGTTCATTTAATGCAAAAATCTGTTTCAAAGCAAACGCTGACCTCTGAAAACATCAGAGATATAAGATAATTTCTCTGGAGGTGTAAACATCTCCTTTTGACCTCCCATGAGTTCCTTTTCATGATCGTGCTAAAGAAGGTCAATCAATTTAATGCAAAAATAATGACACAAGTTTTCATTAAAAGCATGGGTCAAACATTGACTAAACAATAGATTTATCTGCTGACTAGATCATTGTATTGATCAAGGAATTTGCAAAATTTTAATTTTAAACGAGATTGTTGGTATATTTGTTTCATCAATTTATTTGTCAATAGCTTGTCTTTTTTTAGAAATCGTTGGACGTAGAGCATGATCTTGAATATGGAATCAACTAGGAGATAGCAACTTTATACGAAGGTGACAGTGGTATTTTTCTACATAAAAAGGAAGTTGACGATAGACAGTATGACTATCAAAAAGTTTTTTTTTATGTACTCTTCTACATCTTTTCCTAGTAAATATTCAAATACGAAACAAAGTCAGACTCTGTGGCATCTTTCGCTTTTTAAGGTTGAAACATATGGAGATAACGTTCAACAGCACTCAAGATCAAAAGTCCATAAAACAATACAAAATAGGAGCAGAGTAAATACAGACCTCCAAAACATTAAACTGAGCAGTCCCAGCCGACGGATCACACCCACCGTGTGCTCCTTGTCATGTTCGGGAAATAACGGAAAAGCCGTCTTCATTTCAGTGTATAAATACTGGACTAACAATAAGTATGGAAAAACGTCAGTCATTATTTGACTCAATGACAAATCGTATTTGCTGACAAAGTCAATATATCGACCATAAAACTTACGAAATGATGACTTTAAACGAGACTGCTGATATTCTTGTTTCATCAACTTGTTTGTCAATAATTTACCTTGTTTTAGAAATTGTTCATACGTAGAGCATGTTCTTGCATATCGAATCATCTGAGATATATAAACTCCGTATGCAGGTGAAACTGATGTGTCTAACTCTGTGGTATCTTTCATCTCAAGCTCACCAGGATATATCATATCGACATAAGAATGGAAATTACCATTACTAATTGACAATATGTCGTCGATATGTCTAAATGTCGAGTTGAAGGCTACATATATAGAATTGTTAATTTGTAAATGGTCGTCGATATATATGAATATCAAATTCAAGGCAACAGCAAGAGTTTTTTTCATGTTGAAGTATTTGAATAATTTATTTTGCATATGAATACAATAAGAGATCTGTTTATTACAAATAATAATAAATAATTTGCAGTAGTTGAAAGTTGAAAATGTAATAAATCATAATACATTATTTATATTTGCTTCCATCGTCGGAAACCCACGGGTGATTTCGTCTTTACTTATTACTTATGATAAGTAAAGACGAGATCACCCGTGGGTTTCCGACGATGATTTGCTTCATTCCTTCGTCGTTCTTTAGATTTACGTCTTGCATAAATTTAATAATAATACTGAGTTATTATATTTTCTGAACAAATATGAACTGAATGACCTAGCATCGTGCAACAATCTAAGGAAAGCCAGTGGTCATCAATTAACAACTTTTTCAACTTAATTATATATCAAATTGAAAACAAAATTCTAAATTGTGTATAATTTTATATCAAATAACATTTGTTTCTCACTTGTATGCCAATCAAAATTGTTGAAAATTAACACTGTATTAAAATATTAGCCATTAAGATTTCGAAAATCATGCATATAAAGAAATATATTGATGGTCTTATTCAAAGATCGATTTATAAAGGTTTATTTTCAATTTATTTTGAAATATCCATACCAGACAATTCAGACTGAAAAGCAGGTTTGATTAATATTTTATTGAAATGTGATTAGTGTGTCTGCAAAATTTGAGAATGTGTAATTATTCTGCATTATTTAGAATCTAATCAATAAAACTCGCTAAGAATAAATATACGTGATTTTAAAGGATTACATAATTTCATTTTTTCTACTGGCTTTCTCTTTTTTCACATCTACATTCTTTCTTTACTTTTTTTTTACAAAACACTTTCATGACTTTCATCTACTAAAAGATATTTCAACCTGAGTGAATCGAGCATCTTTTACTATAACTTTTAGGGTATTTTGAGTGTAGAATGACTTTTATATGAAATAAAAAATATGAATAGAACAAACAGTATTCTAGATCGAAATCCATTAAAAAATACAAATCAGGAGCAGAGCAATCACGTACCTCTAAAACATCAGAGTTGGGATCAGGTGCCATGTAGGAGTGAGCATTTCCTACCGACCAGTCGCACCAACCGTGTGCTCCTTGTCATGATCGGGAAATAATGGAAAAATCGGTCAAAAAATCAGTTGGTGAATAATTATCTAACATTTAGTATGAAAAACGTAAGTCAGTATTTGACTTAGTAACAGATTTTATTTGCTGACAAGGTAACTGTATCGACCATATGACTTCCGAATTGATGACTTTAGATGAGTCTGTTGATATTCTTCTTTCATCAACTTGCTTGTTACTTCGTTTTAGAAATTGTTCATAAATAGAGGATGCTCTTGCGTATCGAAGTATATGGAGAAAACGAACATTTTTCAAGCTAAAAAGTCCATGAAACAATACAAAAGGCTCTGATGTATCTTTTAATTCAAGCTCACTGGTATCGTATCGACATAAGAATGAAAATAACTTTTGTTAATTGACAATACGTCGTCAATATATTTGATATATCTGAATCTCGAATTGAAGTCCACAGCAAGTGCTTTCTTCTCGGCACCTGTAAGTTCCTGAAGTAAATTCTGCTTCCTATGAATATAAAATAGGTCTGCTTATAACAGGGCACAACTGGAGCCCATAAAACTCGAATGGATTGCTGAAAGCTCCAAAACCGCATAGATACTGTCAATCAGAAAGTTAAGCATCTTTTAATATCATTTTCAGAGTACTTGCAGGTACAATTGGAAAATTTTCAACAAAATGATTTCGTAAAGGACGAATGAAATTAAGTTAAGAAAATGTACGAGTTGCATTTTAATTGAAAATGCGAGTGTCTATGATGTCAAAAAGAATAACATGGGGAATGGTATTATGTTAAGTTGATTCGTACGTTTTTCTCTTGTTGAATTTGGTAAAATTTTATCATTTCAAATTTTCCAAACGTTCCTTTGAATTGTTAAATATCCACGTCTGATTTACACTACTTCTTGAATATATTGTTGCACAGTATTCCTGAAATTTCTCTTCACTATTTTTAATATCTTAGTGAGGAGTAGAGAAGATGTTTGATAGAACATTTATTAGAACTCGCTATGTGTCTTTATTTGTAATGATGTTAATGAAGTTTTGGAATCAAAATATAGATTTGGTTATTCAAAATCATTCTGGTTGTGGGGAATATTAATGTATTCAAAACTGATAT